TAAAATCTATGTAAAATTACGTATACAATATACTGATTAGACGTATAAATTCCGTATTTTTTTGCATACGGAAAAAGACGATTTTCAGTATCATGTATACGGAAATATTTACGAATTTATTATACTGTTTTTATACGTTTTTTATACGTTTTTTAAACGTATTATTTCCGTATACTTTCCTTATACTGATTATTTATAGGGTAATATATATAATATACTGATTAGATGTATAAAATCTATGTAAAATTATATATGAAATATATTGATTAAACATATAAATTCCATATTTTTCTGTATATAGAAAAAGATGATTTTCAGTATCTAGTATATAGAAATATTTATGAATTTACTATATTATTTTCTACATATATTATATGTTTTTTAAACATATTATTTTTGTATATTTTTCATATACAGATTATTTATAGGGAAATAAGCCTTTCAAAAGTAGTATTTTAGTAGATTTTCTAATTATTTTTTTTATTTTTCTTTACTTTCTTTAGAAATACATTAAAGTAAGTAAAATTGAAAATGATTTTTTGGTGATTTTCTAATTATTGTCTTTTATGTTTTATTTTTTTTTTTAGGAATACATTAAGGTAAGTCTTTTGAAAATAGTTTTTTAACTGTTTTCTTTATTTTTTTCTTTACTTTTTTTTAGAAATATACAAAAGTAAGTAAACTGGAATTAGATTTTAGTAGCTTTTAACTGTTTTATTCATTTTTTATTTACTTTCTTTAGGAATATATTAAAATAAGCCTTTTGAAGGTAGTATTTTAGTGGTTTTCTAACTGTTTTCTTTATTTTTTTCTTATTTTTAAAATCAAATGTATTTTTTTGAATAAAATATAATGCAATATATATTCTTTTTGAATAATTTATTATATAATAATAAAATTGTGAGTGTCACTTCTATTAGAGATGGTCAACTCACAGGCGAAAACTTTTATTCCAACAGTTGTTGAATCATCACAATGTATTATTTAAAGCAACAGATATCCAGTTCAAACTTTATTACTCTTTAGAAAGATCAGCTTGCTCCTGAATCACAACACAACCAGTCCTATCAAAGCCTTTGAACCCTATGCCAATAATACGGGAAACAAATAGAAATATATCTGGACACAATGTTTGGTGGTCGACATATGGCGAAACTTGAAAATGGCCGCTTTGACATTCGTAAAAATGGTAATCCCGTACCAGACTTCCTTATTGTTTACATGCGAGGCATCCAAAGCACATTAGGAAATATAAAGATTTAGCATTTATTAACTATGATGAAATCAAGGATAAATTATTTTTTAAGAAATTGAAACTTTTTTCAGATTCTGTTTTTTTTTCTTTAGTGAAATTTTTCGAATAGTGAATAGTTTAAATGTATAGTTAATTTTATGTATTCTACTGTGAATACCGTGTCCATCATGTAAAAATAACAAAAATTTACATCTCGTTAATCTAGAAAATTGGTTATTATAAAGAATGAATAAATCATTTATCACATTAGGGTTTCTTGGGCCACTATACCGGAGGAGTAAATTATAGCTGAAAGGTTCTTCACTGCATTTTTTACATCACATCGAGCCCGATATAAATGTGTTTGCTTTATTGTGTTGTAATGGTCATCAATGTACATCGAGGTATAAGCAAAGTAAATCGGATTTTTTGTCATTAGGTCCTTAAAGTTCTCGCAAATGTAAATCCACGGGGCGATCCACAAATCAGACTGCGCGCACAATTCTTGCACAGCCGTGATTATTAAGAAGTAATATTCAAAAATTAGATTCACGTGAATATAACTGATAATCTAATAATTACAATTCCATGACGCTTCACCTCAACTGATGACCAGATAATCATTTCTAACAAAAGAACACGTGAAATATCAATTTAAACAAACACCTACTTTTGGAACTTCGAGTGATAATAATATGAGTAAGTAACTTTGTATAATGTGTAATTTTATTTTACCCAAGCAATTGTCATTAACTCTTTTCTAGAAGTTCGTATATACTCGAGAGGCTCTTATAACCATCCTATCAGAAAATACGATGAACAATGATCCTGTTCTTATTATTTCAGCAAATCAGAATTGAGATGCGTGCGCAGGTGATGGCAACCTGCCAGACGAAAATTCGCTCTGTATATTCCATTTTCCAAATTTGAATGAACTCTACACTGTACGTAATAATAGACAAGAGCCAACTGGCTACTTACTAATGTTGCAGTGCGCAAGAGTGATTTTGCGGAGGATGATAGGTTTTTCGTTCTTAAATGATTAACTTTAATGAATAACTTTTAATGAGTAACTTTTTCCTAAGTAATCACTCAATTCTCTTCTTCTTGAAGTATTTTATTGATTTTTTATTATTATGCTGTAAAAATATATGCAAAGTTGTAATTAATCAAAGAAAATTCGAATAAATTATGGTTAACAGCTTTTATTATTCTAATATACCAACACTTCGCAAATCATTTATTATAAGTGATAATATTATTAAGAAAAAGATGACAGAGAATTGCAAGCAAATTATATGATGCTATCAAAGAGGGAGGGAGTACACAGATCTAGGCTATTTGATTCGATTCGAAGAAAATTTTATGATTAAGCATAATAATGGTTCCTATAACATGAATAAAAATAAAAACGGTTTGGCGTTACCTAGGTCTTTTCATATACATTCGAAATCAAACCTTTTTCTGAGTAATGTAAGAAAAAGGCTATATATATCATTAGACTATATATTCTGTAAGAGAAATTTTCCGAGATGATAGAATTTCGAATCTACTACATAAATTCCGAGATTAGCAATGAGGTAGAAATAAAACAATTCCGATTTCTATATCATTCCACTTCGCCTCACATTCAAGAAATTTGTTTGGTTAACAATGGGTAATTGATTTAGTACGATACTGTGCAATATACCTGCGCCAAATTTTGCACGATTTCAACATACCTTTGTTCGTTGATGATAGACGAGTAATTTCTCTCGATTATTATTTACAAGGCGCAGTGGGTCTTGGAATCAATCTTTGACGTTAAATACATGATTGATCTCTTTCGTTATTATATTCTGGACTTAATCATAAGAAATTTTTACTTTGGTTTAATTGCCGTTTTTAGACATTTTGACACGTTTAGATTTTTTTTTTGCATAAAGTCAGCTCGTTATTAACTTACAGCGATATGACCTTATTAGGATAACTTACATGAGGAAACGAAGTAATGAGTAATAATAAGTCCTGTAATACCTTTTGGCGAGTCAGATTTCCTAAATTATTCGATTGGTTTGTAATTGACGCGTTTTGAGTACTAAGTATAAATATTCATTTTATGGCTGTCTTCAAGTTTTTCTCAACCCTTCTTTGTTTAAGAAAAAATTTTTTTTTAATTTCGAACACAAAATTATATTATGATATCGCGAAGTACTCAAACACTTTTCAACAATATTGACCAGAGTTTTTTGGCTTAGATATTTATAAGGGAAGTATCTTTTCTTTTCCCCTTTAACGACCCCTTCCCTTATTAGAATAGTTTTTTCAAACTGTTTTTGATTTAACAATGAGATTTAGGTTTTCATGGTGATTAAGGATTTTAACAAGGTTTAAAGTTGAAAAGCATTTCATGTGGCATCTTTGTAGTCGAACTTAGGGTAGCGGTTTGGTGAATTGATGCAGATTACCCCCGTGAATTGCTATTCTGCCCAAGAGTTGTTTAACGTGTAGACTCCTTTGATGTATATCAAAATTTTGTTGGGTTTTGCACATGAACCCCTTCTTTGGTATCTGTTCTGATCCTTCTTCTCCCGTTTACCTTTTTATTTTATTCATTGTTAGTAATTACAGTTTCCCTCTCCTGCCTTATATATTCTTGGTACTTTCCTCTAACATTTTTTTCTCTTCATTTTATCTAATAGGTGACAGAATTTTTTTGTAAAAATTGCGTTGTCTAATAACTAATGACAATATAATACATGAGGGGAAGAAATTACATCGATTACTAAATATGCAGTCACGTTCTTATAACGTTAGGAAACAATGGCGTTTAGCTATTATAAGGGAAGTATCTTTTTCTTTTCCCCTTTAACGACCCCTTCCCTTATTAGAATAGTTTTATTTTCAAACTGTTTTTTATTTAACAATGAGTGAGATTTAGGTTTTCATGTAGATCGAGGGTCTTAATAAGGTTTAAAGTTGAGAAGCTTTTCATGTGGCATCTTTGTTATCAGATTTAGGGTAACGGTTTGATGACATTGATGCAGATACCCCCGTGAATTGCTAATCTGGCCCAAGAGTTGTTTAACGTGTAGACTCCTTTGATGAATATCAAAAAATTGTTGGGTTTTGCACATGAACTTCTTCTTCGGGTAGCTTTTAAAATCCTCCTTCTCAGGTTTACCTTTTTTATTTTATTCATTGTTTAGAATTACAGTTTCCCTTTCCTGTCCCATATATTCTTAGTACTTTCCTCTAACTTTTTTTTCCCTTCATTATCTAATAGGTGACGGATTTGTTTTCTATAGATTAAAATATCATTAGAGTTTTTACGTCGTCTAAGGCTTTGCTCGGGTTATCTATAATGAACGAGAAGTAATTATATCAATATGGCCATTTTTCATAATAATTGTAAAAGATAAATCTGATATTGGATTGCATGATTGATAATATTTGAAAAATTCAAAAGTTCACAAAAAAGGTAGATAAAAATTCATATGCGCTTGAACAATCGTTCACACCGACTCTTTTACCAAGAAAAATGTGGACATTGACTTCTATACATATGAGAAAATTGTCTTGATTTATTTTTTTTGATGCGCTTTTACACCTATAAATAAACTCAATGCGAATAAAGTGTATGATGCTATCAAAGAAGGAGGGGGTACGCGAACCCGGTATCAAGTTATTTCTTTGTCTCATATTTTCTACGACTGGTTTGTTTATATGTCTATTGCTAACAATAAGATTCTACACCCTCTTATATAAATACCAGATTTTCGAATCCACTCATATACAGTGAGACCTCTCTAAATGCACCCTCACTAAATGCACGCATATATATTTTTTCTATAAATGCACATTCCACACAGCTCCAAGTATATCAAAATTTCTCTCTTTAAATGCACACCCCCTTTAAATGCACATTTTTTCAAATTTTTCACTATGGTTCCAAGAGGGTGCATTTAGAGAGGTCTCACTGTATACGCCTATTTAAATCACTACAAATCATGTAAAAAATTTTTTTTCGCAAGAGAACATCTCCGAGATAATATAATATTGAATCTATAGCACCGGAAATTAAAGACAGAAAAATAAAAAATGCAATAGTTCAGCAATATTTTCGATTAAATATTGGTATTCCCTTGCGCGATCACGATCACGATTTTCTAAATAGGTATTATTTTTTTTTTTTAATTTAGTGATCATTAATTATGATTAGATAAAAAATAAGTCTAATATGAGAAGGAACAATCTATTTTAAGATAAATTCTAAAAGTTCACACGTGACATTTAACCGCGAGTGATTTTTGGGCGGCATTATGGAACTTGGTAAAAATTAACGTTGACAAATTTCCGCTATTTATGTTAATATTTATTTCTAATAAAATAAAATAAAATGAAATTCTCACTTTTAAAAAAATAAAAAAAAAAGATGAGTAAACGAGGGTCGGTTTTAAGTAAATTTCAAAGCTTTGATGCATACGCCAAGACGCTTGATGATTTTCGTGTTAAAACATATTATGGAGCAGCATGTATGTGTTCATTAATCGTTTATATATTTTATATGTAATAACTTGCCTTTCAAATCAAATAAAATTTTTTAATTTTTTTGTTTTATTAAATGAAAAGTGACGATTATAAGTGCTATTTTAATATGTTTATTACTTTGGTCGGAATTTTCCGATTATCGTACACCGGAAATTAAACCGCAACTAGTAGTGGATAAAAGCAGAAAACAAAGACTTGAAATTAATATTAATATTACCTTTCCTCACGTACCTTGTTATTGTAAGTATGAATTTTTATAAAGCTAGAAAGTTTAATACAGTGAAATTCATTAAGATATTTTTTTTTTTTCAGTATTGAGTGTAGATGTTATGGATATTGCAGGAGAAACACAAAATGATTTGGCCCATGATATTTATAAAACTAGATTAGATCCTGATGGGAATCAAATTCATGTTGAAAAGGCTCAAGGTACCATAACAAATTTCATTTAATTTTAAAATATATATATATATATATATAAATATAAATAAAATTTATTTATATAGATTTGGGAGATCACACAAAAGAAATACACAAAATATTAAATGACACAACTCAAGGTATTGATGAACCTTTTTGTGGTAGTTGTTACGGAGGAGAGGCACCAGAAAGTGGATGTTGTAATACATGTGATGAAGTAAGTGAAGCATATATTAAAAAAGGGTGGTCATTTAATGATCCTGATAGTATTAATCAGGTATGTTCGTTTTATTAAAAATATCTCTCAATATATCTTAAGACTTATTATCTCACTTTGTTTTTATTCAAGTGTGTAAAAGAAGGGTGGAAAGAAAAGGTGCTAGTTCAATCAAAAGAGGGTTGTAATGTAGCGGGTAGCGTAAGAGTAAATAAAGTCGCTGGCAATTTTCATTTAGCTCCTGGTAAAAGTTTTCAACAAAATAATATTCACGTACATGATTTACAACCTTTTTTAAGTGATAGCGTCAATCATGATTTTACTCACGAAATACATCATTTAAGTTTTGGTCCTAAAGTACAAGGTGTTGTAAATCCATTAGATGGTATTGGCAGAACTGTTTCTCAAGGTAAATTTAGTATTTTTTTTTTTTTTCTCACATTTAAAATGAAAAGCATCGGGCTTATTATTATTATTAATTGAAAATTATTTAGGACATTATATGTTTCAATATTTCGTTAAAGTAGTATCAACACAATTTCACTTTTTGAATCAAACAACAATATATACAAATCAATATTCTGTTACTCAATATGAAAGAGATTTAACTGGCAAAGATACAAGTGGTCATGTTCATTCTCATCAAGGTGGTCTTCCAGGTAACTTACCACCTTTTTTTTTTTAAACCATTAATTACCTCGGTTTATTTTCTTAAAATTAAAATTCTTTTAATTCTTTAGGTGTATTTTTTAATTATGACATCTCTCCAATGTTAATTATAAATCGGGAAGAAAGAAAATCTTTTACTCATTTTTTAACAGGTGTTTGTGCTATTATTGGTGGTATATTCACTGTTGCTGGTATACTAGATGGTTTTATTTATAATGCCGAAAAAACATTCAAGAAAAAAGTCGAATTAGGAAAACATTTATAAATATATAAAATATATTTATTATATTTATTTTTATTTTTTATAAAACTAATTATTAATGGATAGAAATTCATCTAGAAAATAATACATAAAAATGGGAGGGATATTTATTATTATTATTATTATAATAAACAATATATAATTAATTACTTTTATAGATCGTCTTTTTTTTTATTATCTAAATTGTTTTAAATTCTATGCGAAGGAAAAAAAAAATCCCTTGTTTTTTTTTGTTTTATATACAGATGTAAAATAAAAATTTTGTGCCGAGAACTTCCATTTTGTATCCCAACACGATTAATTACTATTAAAAAAAAAAAAAAAAGTATAAATATTAAAGTAGTTTATATTGACATTTAAGAATTAACACTAACCAAAGTTAATGGATTGGAATACTAACAAAGCCACCAAAGGCAGCTTCAACCAACAAGAATAATGGGTTTTCCTCATTGTTCACGGCTTCATCGTCGTTATTTCCTAAAACGGCACCGATTTCATTGTCTTGACGAGGTCGTTTAACTACTCGTTCTCCCATTATTAGGCTTCTTTTCTCGAAGTTTTCATTTTCTTCGGATTCGGTTTGGATTCGCACGTTTGTCGACGAAGTTGAACTAATAAACGATTCGTCTACTTCATAATCTTCAGGTTGTAGTTGCCTCTCATCTTCGTAATTGTCACCATTTGATCCGCTTGACTCCCCTTTATCATCATATTCATTCCGTGATAGCTCAATGGCTATCGCCATTTGAACATCTTCATCCAACTGCCCGATTGTTGATGATGATGGTGATTTGTTTGATGTTATTGTCGTCGTCATCGTCATAGTTGTTGGTAATAAGGCGGAGGAATCCGTGGGGATATAATTGTTTTCACATTCCTCATCCGCCTTCACGGAAATGAATTCTTCTACTTTACCTTCGTCGTGAGCTATTTCTTTACCCTTGCCTTTTTCGCGAATAAGGGCTTCATTATCTCGGAAGAATTCCTTTCTTTTACCTTTATCGGGAACCTCACGCTTCTTGTCTTCTTTGCTTGATGACTGCATCTTTTCGGTGGCTACCGTCATCTGCAACTTCTCATCATTTTCTTCCACGACCACACCCTTTAATAACTGCCCAATCCAATCCAATGTGACACTTTTCTTTGGTAACCTGTGTAAAGTTTCGTTGAGATAAAATTCCGGATCGCATTCAACCCGCCGTCTTTCAGGAGGAAGTTCGATTGCAGTATTATCCATAAAAGGCAGAACATCTTCTCCACGCAATCTGCGCATTGGAGGCTATTATTTAAAGGTTCAAATAAATGAAACCAAACTCTTACAAATATAAATATATCTAAATATATATCCATATATCTTTTGCTTACCAATGCATGATCCGCGTGAAGTGGACACATCCACTTCTTGTGCAAAGGAGGTGCGATTGTAAGGGGTGGTGTCAAACAATCAAAGTGCCAATGTTGATCGCAAAAATCGCATGACATTACCGGTTTCAGATGTTTCGGAGGTAGTTTGCAGTAATAGCAGCGAATTTGCTTTCCCTTGGAATCGGTAAATTTTTCCCGATCTGGCTCTACTGGGTAACCCCTTTTACTACAATGAGGATATTTCGAGGTTAATAAATAAATTTCATTCCATCAAAAAGTCTTTATACTTACTCAAGTTGAACAGGCTTTTCCTTATTAGAATCCCGGAATTCTCCATGTTTGCCTGCAAATACTAATGTGATTATATACGTAAATATATAATGGATAAGGTAATAACACAATTCAATTGTAAAACAAAGAAGAGAAAAAAGGAAATTAGAATTATGTATCAAACTAACTTCCGTCAAACGCATTTCTAATATGTTCCGGCAACATAAAAGATGTTGGATTTGATGTGCGAGCTTTATCTTTAAGTTCTTTAAAAAGGTTGAATTTACGACGACCTTTGCGACCTCGTTGTTGTGGTTGACGAGACTGAAAAATCGCGAAAATACACAATTATCAAACTAAATCATATTAACGATATCAAAGTATGATACTAACACTTTCAGTACCACATTCTCTACAATACCAATTTCCAGTTGGTGGATTATCAACGTCAAGCGGAGGCACCAAACAAGTAAAATGGAATGCCTTTGGACATCCGTCACAACACATCATACGACCTCCGTACGTACATACATCACAGTGGTCGTTATTAGCCTATTTTTAACAAATATATTTGAATGAAAATTCTCATTTAAAACATGGAATTTTGCGTTTCAAGGCTATTCTCATATTTTACCTGTGCATTTAAAGGAGCATTTCTTGCTCTGCCTCTACCTCGGGCTGTCATGGTTCTTCTAGTGGATCTATTATTTAAAGTAACAGATAAAAAAAAATTTCAACCAAACAGTATATTAATAAAAATTTCTTTAATAAATTATGAAATTTAAAACTTACCTCATTTAATTCGATAAATACCTTTTACGATAGCGATAGCGACTGGATTAAAAAATCTTTTAGCAATAAAAGATCATCAATGAATTAGACGTGCAAATTTACGATATTAGGTGGAATGCTTCTTTGTGCTACAGTAGTACACGATTTTTTTTTATTTTTCGAACATAATGTAAAGAAATTCAGAAAAAAGACACTTTTCTTTAGAAACACTGAATCCTCTTTTACAAAGCACAAATTAAGTAGAGTTTCCATTTGAAAATATTCAGCTCATTTTGATTACTGATAATAACTATCATAAAGAAAATGAATTATCTCATTTTCACCTAAATTCTAAAAATCCCCAAATATTTCAAATTTCGTCGATAGGACGTATCGACAAAGGTATTTTCTCGACGAATGTCAAAGAATCGGAAGATCATTTTTGATAAATATAAAAATTATTGATTAGAATATGTTTTGAAACATCTCGTGTACCTTTTTCAAAGCTACGATTGGCGCAGCAACTGCGGTGCATATCAAAATATCATCCAACCCATACAGAATATTTAGACAGAATATTAGAAGAAATTCGTGTAAGAATTGTTGAAACTAGTACTCCAAGCATTTATTTAGCTGATCTATCAATTGAAGGAGAATGTAAACCCGATTTACATGTAGGTCCGTTAAATAAATACAACAAAATAAGTTTCAGCAAGTGTTAGAAGAAAATGCTGATTTATGTGCTGGAAGCCAAACGGACTTCTATTATTAAACATTCTATCTATTATCTTAGAAAAAAATATTGCTATTGCGCAAACAGCATATAGATGCAGTCCAGATAACCAAAATTCTTAAATGAAATAGAAAATATGGTAAAGATTAAAAAAATCAAAGAGTACTTGGGCTTCTCCAGTGGTAATAGTAGCTAAAAAGACGGGAAAAATGAATTTGCATTGATTTTAGGAAATTAAATGCTGTTACGAAAAAGGATGCGTATCCATTGCCAAGAATAGATAATCATTTAGAACTGCTAAATGGTTTACCACTTTAGATTTCGCAAGTGGATAATGGCAGGTTGAAATGGAGGAAATGATAAGATTTTATCTCAAATTTTGGGTTGTATGAATTTAATGTAATGCCATTGTGACTAGGGTTCCGCAAAATCGAATCGAATCAAATCAAATCAAATCAACCAAACTGAATTAAAATGATTAAATATATATATATATTTTTAAGATGCGGTGAAGCATTTATTTATTAAAAAAACATTTTCATAATATAAATTAAAGAAAATCCCAAAATGGGTACATAAAGTAGAAAATAAAGTAAATGCTACCTAGCCTTCGTCAAAGGCATATTGCCTTCTCCAACCAAACCAACCAGTCATTCAATTTAAAAAAATTAATTAAATTCACATTATAAAAATTTTTTTTAGTTAAATTTTTTTATATTTTTATTTTTATATTTAATAATATTTACAAAATTGAAACTTTATATATTTTTTTCAAAAAGAAAAAGCACTATATTATTAACCATTATTATTTCTCAAATTATACAAAAAATTTATACATAAAAAAAATTAAAATATATCAGACTTTAGCCAAATTTTAAGTACATTATCGCATGAATTATATCACTTCTAAGTCTATTACGTTCTGATATAATTACATTGCCACTTTGACTAAATAAGTATTCTACAGGTGCACTAGTAGACGGTATTGATAAATAATCACATGCTATCATAAATAATGTCGAATAATTAATTTCGTGATCTTTTCACCATTTCAATACATTTATAGTTCTTGGTTTTGGAGAACTATCAAGATAATTAAATAGTTTGTTATGTCTATTATTATTTCGAAAGCGTTTAGGAATAAGAAATAAAAAATCTTCATCATTATTATCCTCATTATCATCAAAAACAGCAGGTATCGAAGTTGGAAAGTAAATAGAACGATACTCATCAAATTATAATTTTAATAATAAAAATTTTTAATATTTATAATTTATCTAATTTCTATAGTAAAAAATTAATTTACTTACAAATTTTTTGCTTTTCTATAAAATATATCATCATCATTTTCTATTCAGCTTTGAAAATATTTAAGCTTCAATCGTAAATCAATAATCATAGAAATGTAATGTACTGATTCAGAAGTTTTATTGTAATATTTCACTAAGCTTATTTCATGCCACTTTTGCAACTGCAACTAAGGATTTTGAAGATTTTCCATTCTTCATTATTTTTTCAGCATGGTCCATTAAATGATTATATATGGGGTAAACTAAACTTATGGTAAGATAAGTCGATGCGTACATTTCAGTTGAAATTCTTGCAAATCACTTTAAAAAAATTACAATTTCCTCAAGAGATTTCTAATCTGATTGAATTAAGCTAATATTTCTGATGAATGAAAATTCACAGTTAAAACAATCTTATCAAAAACCTAATTATATAAAATCTTTAATTAATTATATATAAATCTTTAATAATTTAAATTTTAACTAAAGTACTAACTACTTTTAAATCCAAAGTACGTTTAATCATTTCATACGTAGAATTCCAACTAGTCAAAATGTCTAAAATCGGAGACAGATTTTTAATGTTATTAAGATTTGAAATTTCTTTGAATTTTTGTCATCGTTGTGAAAAAGAACGACATTTAATAATAATATTCTGATTTGATTTATTTCACATTTAAGTTCTTTTAAAGCATATTGAACTGCAAAGTTCAAAATATGAGCAAAACATCGAATGTGATTATTTTTAACTGAAAAAGTAATATTATTTTCTAATGCCTATAAGCCAAATTATATAAATGTCGTGTCATTATTAGGAGCATTATCAGTTGTAATACAATTAATCTATAAAATTAATTATATATATAATTTCTATTTGTGATACAAAATCAAAACAAATATATGTTAATAGTTCTACAAACCTTTGTAGAAATCTTGTATGTATCTAATATATCGATTAACTTTTCAGCTATGTATTCACCAGAATGAATGCCTTCTAACTTATTAAAGTCAAGTGTAAGCTCTTGAAGATTTCATGATTTGTCGATGAAGTAAATTGTAATATCTATGTACGCTTTAACTACTACAGAAGTCTAAAGGTCCAAAGAAAATGATACTTTTCCTAAAGTTTCTGCTATATATTTTTGGATATGACTTTGAAATTCGACAAACTCCCACATTATATCTCTCTTTATTGTATTAGAAGATACAATTGTAAATCTGGTAACCTTTTTTAACACATTTTTGATTCTTCCTTCAATAATTAAAAATGGGTGATCTTCAAGAATAATCTATTCTCGTAAAGATTTTCATAAACTACTTTCTGTAATTAGCTAATAATAAAATTATAATTAATTATTATATATACAATATATTTATTTGCTTTAAAAATAAAATGTTAATATATGATTTACTTACACTATTAGTTGTATTCGAATATTGTTCAATTGTATACTGATTAGTTGGTATACCAATTAGAGACTTATGTACTTTTTTCACGTGAGCCCAAAGGTTTGAAGTTGCACTACTATTAACTGAGTAAATTACATTCCTACAAGTATTACATTTTACGATAATTTTGTTATTTTTTTTTCTTTTGAAAAAAATTTCAAAATATTTGACTTTAATGAAAAAGAAGAAGGAGGAGGTAAGATTTCTTCATGCTCATGATCAACTTCATTTTCTGTATCATTCATATTTATAAAAAATAAGAATAATAGGAAAGGTCTTATGGCTAAATTTTTGGGCTATGAAAACAGCTTAGTAAGAATGGCTTAGTGAAAACAGCTTAGTAAGAACGGCTTAGTAAGAATAGCTTAGTGTGGTCAAAATTTTGGATTATGAGAATAGCTTAGTGAGAATGTGTGGTCAAACTTTTGGGCTGAGGGAACAAGGTTAAGAAAAATTATAACTTTATTTTTCTCAGAAAAAAAAATATGATAAATGATCAAAAAACATTTCTGATCTTTTTAGGTTTCTTGATACTCTCAAACTTGAATTAGTGAAAATCAAGTTTGGGAAAATTTCTCATTAAAACTTAGCTTTACATTAATATTACCTGATCTTTACATGATTTTTATATTGATTTCTATTGTTTAAATCTAATCAGTGTCAAACTTATCCTGATTAAAATTTGATTATTTCTGATCAATTTAATTTCAAAAAAATATGGTATAATAACATATTACAATTAAAATTAGCAAAATTTTTGAGTTTTAATCAAATCTGACATATTAATATAATAAATTAAATTAAGAATTTTGTAATAATTCAATAATTAGCAAAAAGTTGAGTTATAAAAGTACTGACATAATAGAAATTTTAAATGATGTATTATATTAAATTAGAAAATTCATATCATAAAATAAATTTCAAATGAATAATGATAATACAAAAATGCTGACATTAAATATTTTATAAAATCAAATTAAAAATTTTGTATTAATTCAATAATTAGCAAAAAGTTGAATTATAAAAAATGCTGATATAACAGAAATTTCACATAATGTATTAAAAAATTCATGTCACAAAATAAATTTCAAATGAATAATATAAATTTCATACAAAAATGTTGACATATTAGATATTTAAAGTAAAAGCTTTTTACAAAGTAAAAGTTTGAATGAATCATATCAATTATTTGAATATTCATACATTCAAATATATAAGTAAGGTTTTTTCTTTTTTCTTTTATACTAAATTAAATCAAAAATTTTAATTACAAAAAAATGTTTTCAACAAATTCTTCAAACACTACTGCTGCTATTCGTTTTCAATGGTCAAACAATTCGACATGTGTGCTTATTAATAAGCAAAAAAATTGCAATCAAGTAAATATTTTATTTATTTATTTAATTTATAAAATATATATAAATTGCTTTTTAAATTATTAAGGTGAATTATATATAATATTTTTCTAGAAATATCATAACATAGAAGGTATCTCGCGAAAAGAATTTTGGCAAAGCATTGTGAGAAATATGAATAATACCTGTCAAATTGCGTT